TATAATCGTAAACCCTAAACCCTGATCTAGTCTTTAGATTTTTGCTTTTTGGGGGGTCCTGTTGCGGAGATTCAAGAGCCGAAGCCTCGTGAGTTCCGGTGAGCCGGGTGTTCCTTAGAAGTTTAGGGTTCCTTAGAAGTTTAGGGTTCCTAAACCCTCAACCTTCTTTGGGTTCCCGAAGATCCTAATCCGCTCAACTGAGCCCGAAGCCCTAGACCTTAAGCCCTAAACCCTTGTAGATCCCATAAAGGGTCCTCAAAGGAACCCCCCGAAAAGGCCTTGAAGGGCCTCTTTCGAGTGTTTCACAATTTCCTCGATGCTCTGACAAGGGTCTTGGGACTTAGTAACTAGGCCTATAGTTAAGGTAACTATACTTATAATAGCCCAAATGAAAGGTACTTATAACCTTACTTACTCTGACAGATGGTCAGTTGCTCCAAGCTTACCTTTGGTTAGTAGGGAATGGAAGAATGGTAGGACTAGTAGTTATCATTGTACCCCATGCCTCCATTCCCTACTAACCAAAGCCAAGCATGTCCGCGACCTGATGTTGTGGATTTATCAGAACAGGCCGAACATGAGACACAACGACGTGGCACTGCCACCCGCAGATGATCCTTCCGGCACTGTGGGCGGGGCAATCAACCGACAGCCAACGGGCGAGATGATGACAAGAAAACCAAAAAAATAAAGCCGACCCAGGCGACTCAAAGGCTGCAAAGGCGGCGGCAGAGTCGTGGGCGAAGCGGCGAAAGTCGGCAAAGTAGATCCGTGCAAAGCGGCCCGACGGTTTTTGAAATGATGGAAAAAGCGCCGGTGAGCCGCAGGGGTTTCGCGGGGTATAAACCCCATACCCTAGAAACATTAAACCCTATAATACCAAAGCCCTAAACCCTAAACCCTGCTGATGCTGTTGCTGTTGCTGTTGCTGTTGGTGCGGTAATCTTGCGATCTAATTACAGTGGACTGTCGCCACAACCAGTGATGACCTTCATAGACACATCATCATGGAGGCTGTCAGCTTTGCCGCGCCCCTAAACCCTAAACCCTGAACAGTATACTGCAGCAAGTCATTGAGACGATGCTGGACGGTTACACTTCCTAGGCCTCTCCTAAATCCTAAACCCCTAAGGCCCTGAACCCTCAACCCTGAACCCTCTTTGGGTTCCCGAAGATCATAAGCACTCAACCACATCGACGACCCGCAGGTGATGTCTATGCCGCCGGGGCCACCTTTCACTTTATGGCTCTTTGCCTGCAGTTTTCAGCTTTTAGGGTTCAGGTTCGTTTCAAGCCGCTTTCACAAGGCATCAAACCGGGTTTAGGGTTTAGGGCCACGGTTTGGCTCTAATAGGGCTGACTCGTGGGGTCGCACTACGCTGTCCTGAATCATGGGCAAACGCTGAACCCCATCTCAAAGCCTTAAACCCAAAATCCCAAGTTCTAGTTTCTGGATGGACATAGAACTTGGCCCACCGACCCCTCAAACTCTGGGGTTTGGGGTTTAGGGTGTAAGGTCTGAGAAATGGGTATAGTGGAAAAACCTTCCCAAACGGCACCGGAACACTTTCACCATACACTTTGATTATGCAACCAAACGCGACCCGATTTCTGAACCCCAGATTCGCTGTGTTTGTGCCGATCTTGAACTCAATCCTCCTCCTCAGATGACCTTGCAGTACGTCGCATCAAGCCTGAAGAAGGAGCGTCACAGGCGGGCATTTAATGTGGGTTGGGACTCAGGATTTTCGGGACATGGGCTGTTCGGGTTTCTCAAGATTCAGGCATCAGAGCATGCGGAGGGTATTGGTTTTCTGCAGGGCTCTTTCGTATAGCTTAGTAGCAGAAGAATGTATTCCAAAATGTTGTTCAAGGTGCCTCTTTACTAGGCTGCTGTGGTTTGTGTGCATGTGTGAGTGTGATGGGCCTTTGAATTTTCAGGTCGGATTTGCCGAACGCGATGGTAAGCTTTGATTACTGGCATCGTGCAACATTGAAAGACGAAGACTCTTGATGTTGTGTGGTGCTTGGCCACATGACACCGATGCCGTCTTGGAATTGTGGGCCTGGGTGTTTTGAGATTGTTGCAACGTGCTGTTCGGCCTCCGCTTTTCGCCTGCGCGGTACAGCCCCATATATACATCGGTGGCTGCCCATCCCCATATCAAAGCACTAAACGCTAAACACCAGCAGCTGGTCTGGCCCTATAGACCCTAAATCCAAAACCCTAAAAACCCTGAACCCGGATCCCTAAACCCAAAACCCTGCCCAAAGGGGCTTTTGAGACGCGCTCTGCAGATCGCAAAGAGGCCCTTTATAAAAAAAGAAACTCAAAACCCTGAACCCCAAACCCTAACCCTAAACCCTAAACCCTGAACCAAACCGCAGCTGGTTTGGCGATTTCGTGCTGCAGCTGAACTTCGAAAAGCCCAATCTCCGGGAGCTGCCGGTCTCCTGCCAGGCCAGCCGTCCCTGTGTGGTTTAGGGATTAGGGTTCAGGGGCTTAGGGTAATGCCAGTTTTCAGAGGTTTAGTGGCTTGTAAGGTTCAATCAGGTGCAGGGTTTGGGTTTCCTTCCGTTTTGTACCCCCGCCCCCAGTGTAGAACCTTTTGCAAGTCTTTCGGGGGTCTTCAGTCATGTAGATCCCTGGTTGACAACACCGCTCTGCTTGGCTGGATAGTAGAGAGCCGGCCCTTGTGAAAGGTGGTTTTCTTTCTTTGGGGGTCTTCAGTATAACGTTCTGTAGTTTTGACTGCTGGCATGCTATGGGGTCTTGTGTGGGTGGTTTAGCCGAGGGTTTAGGGCAGTTTAGGGTTTAGGGTCTTAGCTTACGTGTTCGGAAGGGGTTCGGTAAAGGTTTGGTCCGCGGGTGAAGACTCTAGACCCCACAACCGGACCCCTAAACATTGGGTAGTAGCGGTTTCTCTAGAGAGGTTTGCAGGAGCTTGGGGGCAATATCCACAATCAGTAAACAAGCATAACACAGGGGTCAGATTAATTACTTAGAAGCTGCCCCCACCCTGTAATAGTGACTATAAGGATCATATTAGGGCCCTATTACATTCCTATTATACCACTATTACAGGGTGGGGGCCCCTTCTAACTGATAGAATTCCTTGGTAGTCGATCTTGCACAGTATGCACAAGTTATAGCCCGTACCAACTTTCCCACGGGTTCAGGGTACATGCTTGGTAACAGTCTCCGTCCCTACTTGGAGGATCAGGAAACTTAGTTAGTCGATTTTGAACTAAGTAGAGCAACTAGTAGGACAACGACAGTTCGCGTGCTTACAAATGTAACCCCGTGTTAGCAGTTGCTTGCTACGATCCCTGATCCTTCAACTACACCCTAAACCCTGTATGAGGCCCAAGCGTTAAGTTTAGTTTGAGTTTGGGGCTTTAGGGTAGATTGTTCAGGTTCCAAGGCCACAAGGCTTTTTGAGATATCAAGGCCCCCAGCCTTAACAAAGCCAGAAAGCTTTAAACCCTGAGCTTTGAACCGGTTGAACATGGAAGCCTGAATTAAATACTGGTATTGTGCCTTGGAGATCCTTGATCTAGGACCCAGAGTAAGCCCTTATTCCTTTTTTAGGATTCAGGTTCCCTTATAACACCCTTTATACCAAAAAGGGCACCCTGTTTATTCCTAGGTTACTCTTAGGTCTAGTGTTCTACTTCTTTAGCTCTCTTTCCTTCCAATTCTTCGGGTCAAAACGTCTGGAGTCGACTGCCAGGACCTGCTGGAGCGGATGCCCCTGTGCTGCAGCGTTACCGTAAGGTCTACATGGTTAGAATTAGAGAGCCTGTAGAATTAATAGTTTTTGGGGTAATATCTGGCATATTGATACCAGGAACCTTGAGTAGCAGTGCTAATGTATTGTGTCCCCTTTGTTACCCTAGACTTCTGAGGGCGAACTGCTTGTCGAACTAGTCTGAAATACTACTAGTAGTTGGGATTCACGTTAGTCCTCTCAGCATTCTTCCCGCGGCTAACAGCATTACTCCTAGTCACTAGTCCTGGTTCTTGTCGTTTGTCAATGTTGAGCAGAGAACTTCCCCCGCGCCGTTGCTTTGAAGTCCGGTGTCAGCGTGGCCTACTGAATTGCACATCTCCATCCAGTACACATACACCTCAAACCCTACCCTAAACCTTAAACCCTGCACCCCAAGACCCTACCATAAACTCTAAACCCTCAACTGCCGATGCTTGAACCGGGATCACAACGCCCCAATGTTTGAACTCGACACCCTGAAAGTCCTACAGCCCATAACGCCATAACGAGTTTATTGTGAACTTCTTCGTTCCCCGTGAAAGCCATATTAAAACGAATGGGCACTTGTAAGCCATCACACGAAGCGACCACTACATCCTAAAAGGTTCAGGGTTTGGGGCTTAGGGTTTGGTACAGGGTTTAGGCTTCTTCAAGTAAAGCAAAGCGACGCCATGCCCAAACACATGCATCTCAGACCATTCGTCTGTTTTGACCCGAACCGCAGCTTGTGCTTCGGATAGTGGCTGATGTTGTGCCCTTTTCCATTTGCTGTATTCTTGCCTAGTTTGATCGGGATGCGCTGTACTGTTTGGTGTTTTGGCGGTCGAGCAGCGTGTTTTGTGGTAGATTCATGTAGATTCCTGCACATGTGTGCGCGCGTGGTCTGTGGCCACTTTTGCTGAGTAGCTGAGTGGATACACTTTACACTTTTTGGGATAATATTACCCACTGTAAAACTGAAAGCGTATACTTTGTGGGTCTTATGAACTCATTAACTAAGTTTGTGTCTGACCAAGAGTCGGCCATATGCCCTTGCAAAGCTTATACGACTCTGCGCCGCCCCACTTCGGCATAGCCCCTCTCAACCTCCAGACGCTGCACTGCCAAAATCCAATGAACTCCAACTCAGAGAGCCAAAACCCGAGCCGGCAGCCGAAGCCACTGATCCGAACCTCTCGACCGTAAACCCTAAACCCTTAAACGAAGCCTAAGCGGAATGCTGTCGCAATGGCTTCCGGCGACACGCCGGCGACGGCTGGGCCACTGGAGGCTCGAACGATCTCTTGACCGATCATAAGCTGCGTGCCTATGCTATGAGCTACTCTAGAGCTATTTGCCCTAAACCCCATGGTAAAGTCCAAACCTCACACCCTAACCTCGGACGCCGGAACTACGCGAAGTAGTCGACTTGATGCATTGCAGATCGCAGGCAGCAGGGTTGGCTTAGATTGAGGGTTTCGGATCGAGTTTTAGGGTTTGGCGTTTAAGGTTTTGGGGTTCCCGGTATAGGGCTTAAGGCTTAAGGTCTAGGGTTCGGGGTTTGGGGCTCACGGGTTCAGTTTGCTTGAGGGTTTCAGCCTGACTAGGGCCGAGAGGAAGCCTCTATTCCCTTTTAGGGTTCAGGTTCCCTTATAACACCTTTTTTTTCCAAAAAGGGCCCCCTTTTTATTCCCAGGTTACTCTTAGGTCTAGTTGAGGTCTTGAGGCCTCCTCTTCAGGACTTGCTGCAGCCCACGCTTGCGCTGCTCGGGGTTCGGGCCTTACCGCAGGCTCGGTTTTAACGTGCATTGGCTCCGCTGGCTCGGTGTTTGATCTGGTACACTGTGTGCTCTTTAGGAATCGTGAGGGTCCCTTCTAATGGTTCCACAAAAGTTGATGGCGCTGTTTAGGGTTTCGGTTCTAGGGTTGTGGGGTTGAGGGTTTTCGATCGCGATACCGTTCAGTTGAGGATCTCAGAGAGTCCACCGCATGATTTTAGCGCCTATAGTTTGGGGCTGATTTCTTCTCTATTTCGGAGCCCCCGCATGTAGTTTCCCATGCTTTTGGATGTCCTGTGTGTTTGGGGTGTAGGCTTGTGGTCAATTTTGGAGACCCCTAAGTGTCAGCGCTCTAATGTGCGGGACCCTTGCGAGGACCCAAATCTATTGATCCCCCTCACTCACTAAACACCGAACCCATCATGCACATGGGTAGTCCTCTAAATTAGGATCCCTTTCGGGGTCCCCTAAACCCTAAACCCACATACAAAAAACGAAGCACAAGCGGAAGGCAGCGGCCGTTAGCCGTGCCTGGGCAGCCGCGGGCCGCGATGAGACCTTCGGTCGGAGCCGGAAGTCTAGGGGAGTATGTTGAGGATTTATGGGTTTAGGGTGTAGGGAATTACGCTTTAGGGTTTAGGGTTCTTACAGGCTCATGGGACTTGGTAGGTAGGGAGATAAATAAGGTAACAATTATGTAGATCCCCAATCAAGGTACTTCTAAACTGTGCTTACTAATTCCCATGAACCTCCAAGTTTTACAGTTTCGGGTTTGAGGGTTCTGTGGACATACGACGGTGGTATATGGTATATCATCTGAGACAGGATGCACACTTTCCCGCCGAGCCTCAATGTCGACAGCCGAAGACTAAGCGTGACTACCAGGAGCAGTAGGATGTTTATCAGAATCTTGAAGTTAAAAACCCTGACAAGTAGGGGTGCCCAGGACAGTGTGGTGGGCGTTGCTGCAGCAGTTCTGGGACATCGATGATCTCGAAGGCAAGAGTTTTATTCCTGAAAAATGCTTGAATAGGAAGTCCTGTGTGGAATATTCTGTGGGTGTGTGGGTACTCCGACCCTAAACCTGTTGCTTCCTGGCAAGGCTGCCTCCGCAGACCCTAAAATCCCCACACCTTTCAAAGGCTAGCCGGACAGTCTAACAGTCTCAAGCGATAGTATCCCCGCATGGTCAGCATAGTCCCTGTTAGGCTACAGTATGCCTGCAGCCCCAAACCTAAATCCTGCACTGCAAACCCTGTTCCATAAAATACTCACACCTGAACATCAATCCTTGTAATGTGTGACCCTCATACGACCACGTCATCCCGCCCTAAGCCTTGAACGCTGCAAAATGTTCACGATGGTCTGCAGTGTTGAGGTCGGATTAATCAAGCGAAGTGATGCTGCAGTGTATTCCTTGTAGAGTCACAAGTTACCCTATATAAGATACCCTAGAACCCTATTACAACTGTCAGTTCCCTTATCCCAACCCTTACCACACTTCTTCTAATCCTGCGCAGAAACCTATACAATTTATGTCCATCAGCAAAAATCACAGAATCCTATTACGAAGCCCCATACAACCCTACTGGTACCTTTCATGTCCATCAGCAAAAAATCACTGAACCTTACTGCAAAGCCCTTTATAAAGCAGCCTTTGTGTAGCTCTGAGGTGCTTTGTGATTTACTCATACAATTTTTCGGATACCTCCACCGGCCAAAGCCCAAGACATGGCCCTAAACCCCAAGCCTAAATCCTCAACTCGAAACCCAAACCCCAAGATGTAACGATTAAGGAAGGATTTAAGTTGCAGGTTCACTTCAACGTACATGGTGCAGGCTTAGGTTGTCAGGGTTCAAGAACTCGGTTTTAGGGCTATAGGGTTCAGGATTCATGGTTTGGGTTTCAGGGTTCGGGGTGTAGGTTTCCGGGTGCACGTGGTGAAAGTCAGCAGGGCAACCCCAGCAACCCCAGGAGCCCAACTTCTGGATAGGCCATAAGCTTCGATGGCCAATGGGAGAACTTTAAATTTGTTTGGCCGCACATATATACATATACACATGCTTAAATCTCCACGTACATACACATCGTTTTATACATTTAGCTTGTCTTCGAAGGTTTGAACTTTGTTGATCGGCTCATTGAAGAAGAGAGTACGTACTAATGATAGGATTGTTTATGCCAGAAACCCTAAACCCAAGCCCTAAATCCTGAACCCAAAACCCTAAGCCCTAAGCCCTCAAAGCCCTAAACCCTAAGCCCTAAATCCTAAATCCAAAGCCCTAAACCCACAGCTCTAAGCCGTAAACCCCAAGCCCTAAACCCTAAACCCTCAACTGGGTCAAACATCCTCCACACTAGTACCCTAAACCCAGTTGAGGGCAAAATGCCAGCCTTTTTTCGGAGAAAGGGTGCAGTTCAACTGAAAAAACCCTAAGCCCTAAACCCTAGGCCCTAAACGCTAAAGCCAGAGGGACAGAAGCCAAACACGTCGGTCGAAGGGCTCGTGACGTTGCGAGATAAGGTCAGAAACTCATCATATTCAAAAGGTCCCAGGTACTGTTATGGAGGGATATTTCCCCAAATCATAATAGTAATTCCTAGTATGCTATATAGGTAGGTTGGACCCTTATGGAAATACTAGGTCTGCGAGTGGATCCTTTTTGAATTTTTGTGTATAAATCTGGCAAAGCCCAGAATTCTTAGAGATCTGGTATTTCTGGACCTCAGCTGATCCTTAAATCCAGTTTTGAGGACCAAACCCCAAAACCATCACCCCCAAACCTACGAGAAGCCCACGCTTATCCCCAGCAGTACTTAGTACTTGGAGGGTCGGGGGACTTAGTAAGTAGGTAGTAAGTAGACTTCTAAGTACCCTAATAGGGACCCTAAATAGGGGTTACGATACTTATAAGTCTCTAAAATAACTATTTACTAAGTCCCCCGACCCTCCAAGTAGAACAGCGTGGCAGAGGAGTTTCGCCCGGGTTCAGCTCAGCACGCGAGGTGCGTGGCAAACTTTGTCCACCAGCACTCGACCTTTGCGTGAAATTGTTTTGGGCGTCGCCTTAACCCCAAATAACCTAACCTTTTAAGGACATATATATATATATATATATATATATATATAAGGAATCATATTAAGGAACCCTAAAACGGTAGGTTTCTGAGGTTCCAGGCAAGGTTCAGGGGTTGTGGTGCAGGACTTGCGAATTCTAGAGCCTGTGAGCTGAGCCTCGCTTCCATTTCGTGGAAGATGAGGTAGGGTTTAGGGTTTAGGGTTTACGGTTTTGGGTTTAGGGTTTAGGGTTTACGGTTGTGGGATTAGGGTTTAGGGTTTAGGGTTTACGGTTTTGGGATTTGGGTTTAGGGTTTATAGAAATTGTTAAGGGTTTGGGTCCCAATAACGTTTTGGGCGAAACGTTTTGAACGAAATGTTTTGAACGAAAGTTTTTTTTTGCGAACCATGTTTTCAAATTCGTTGGGGGGCTGCGAAACGTTTCGATCGAAACTTTCGCGAAGTTGATGTAGGATGCCCGGGATCAATATGTTCGTACTGACAGGCTTCTGTCATGATTTCGAAGGCATTTGAATGCTCAAATGCTCTCAGTTGCCCTGGAATGCCCTTAAAAGGGCTCGTTAGGTCAGCGAAAAGGAGAGAGGGGTAGGGAGGGAGGGAGGGAGGGAGGGACCTCAGGAAGTGTTACTACTACTACTACTACTACTACTACTACTACTACTACTACTACTACCACTACTACAGCTACTACTACTACTACTACTGCTGCTGCGACTACTACTACTACTACTACTACTACTACTACTTCTTCTTCCGGACGCAGCAAGGGGCGATCTCGCTTAGCGTTCATGAAATTAGGCAGGCTTCACGGACCTGGCGCATAGCGCACTCATCCTTATGATGAGTCCAGCTCTTAACTCAAAAGAAAGGCAACACCTCCATGGCCCGAAGGCCCCATCATGGAGGTGTTGATCCCGCTCCTGTGAAAACCTAAAAGTCTAGCACGTGTGGGACAGTCAGAGTTACCTACTATGCTCGCTGCAACTGGTAACTGTCTACAGGAGGGGAGGACGAGGACCCAGTTCAGGGACTCGTGCAGAGCACATACAGGAAGGCGTAAGTGTTGGGATAGTGTGCAGGGAGGTCTCTATGGGTGAGGCGTTGGGCAGGCTTATTATCATCCGTGATAAGGCTGAGGTCGGTACCTTGGAACAGGATGCATCTATAGTGTCCTGTGGTAGGCATCGGGCCTTCATGCACTATCACTGCTGCTCTGCGGTATCTGGCGTACTGTTGGGCCAGAGTGAGCGGCCGTGCAGTCACCGTATATGCTGGCACCAGGATTTCGTCATTTGGGATCACAGGCATACTGGATTTGCCTAGACTGCTAGGATGTACCCCAAAACGGTTGATCTGCAACAGCAAAACTGTGGGCTGTTGCACCAGCCCTTGCAAGCCACGCTGCATGTGCCATGCATCGACAAGTTGCTGGAGGTCGGCTATTGGGGCATTATGCAGAGGGATGGCTTCTAAGGGAGTGTCTAACCAAAGGGGCCAGGTACTACCTCTGTCGCAAACTCCTACAGTCGTATCATCCTGAACCTGTCGTGCTTCCCAATGGCCAGTGGCAGCCGTTGCCTGAAGCTGTGGTGCCAGAAATGTAAGATACTCGACTACATCATGCTGTCTTGTGGGCCGGGTCCAGCCAAGATTTATGTTCCTCCATGGCAGAGCTTGCCAGAGGTGATGCACTTTCTTAACCTTACAGATCTGGCTCCACAGGGTGCGAATTGCCGGCCCAAGCAAGGGCTCAGCTCTATCCAGACCTGTGGGACGGCAGGCATGACACCAAAGAATGGCGATTAGGGCAGCATTGGAGTAACAATAATTGCTTGTGTTTCCCAGCACTAAGGATCTGACATGCTTTCGGTCATCTTCTGGAGGTTGGTGGCCAGTGCTGACCTGCCCATTTTGTCCGCCCTCAGCGACATAGCCATGGCCCGGCATGCTCCGGAGTGGCAGAGCCGTGTAAGCATCTGCCATGCCTGATCTGCCTCTCTGGTCCTGAGACCAATCTCCAGGACCATTGGCAGAATCTCTCCCTTGAGATCCTGAGACAGGCGTCTCGTGGCATGGAAGCGGATCACGGTCATCGGGAGGATGATGAGGCCTTTGAGGTCCTTGAGGCATTCCATGACCTCCGACAGCTCCATTGGCTCCCGGTCTGGCTTTATCTCCATCTTCTTTTCGTGGGCATTGTACTGGAGATAGGGGACCTTGTTGTCCGCATTGAGAATCAGCATTTCCTTGGCGTTGGCAATGCTGTCCTCGGACTTGTCGATCATTCCCATGCGGCTGTGCCAAATCTCCAGGAACTGCAGAAGCAAGGCGACCCGTAGCGGCATGGTCAGGGTGTTCGGCATCTCCTCTTTGGCTTTCTTCCAGACATCGTTGGCCTTCATGAGGTCCGGAAGCGACGAGAGGAGGCCCTGGGTCTGGCAGAACATAACAAAGCCTGTCTCCGTCCTGGCTATGCTCTGGGCATCCTCGTGTCGCAGCACCAGTCTGGACATCATCAGGCATAGGTCCCGGACTTCCGATGGCTCGCGGGACTGGGGGCCCCAGTGATCTCCCCAGTTGCCGTGGTTTCCCCAGCCATTCCCGGATCGTCCGTGGCTGCCCTTCTCGTGCTCGCGGCGTGGCCATTTGTTCGGCCCCTTTCCCGAGCCGTTGCCTTTGGAGGACTCGTCCTCCACCGTGCCGCGTTTCCCGTCCCTCTGCGCTGTGTCCATAGGCGTCGAGGGAGCCGGTGCTTGCATGGCTGCCGTACCCAGACTCTGCGGTCCCGCTCCGCTGGCAGCGGAGTTGTTCAGCATCGTCTTGAACATGTCCGCTTGGGCCTGGGCCTGGAGGAGCTCCGCCTGCGCTGCATCGGTCATCGTGGGAGGCGGTCGAAGACGCTGTTTGGGCCTGTCGTGCAGTCAAGAGTGCGATGATACCTGTGCGAGTTAGTGTGACGCAAGCGGAGGCATGTCTGTGACGGCTGGCATGTTGTGCCTTGAAGTCAACGTTGCACCAGGGGCACGGTGAGTGCACGGTGGCCCGTCTGTCACTGAGCCAACTAGGCAATGCATCCAAGATAGGCTTTAGGGCAGCATGTTGGGAAGCTATGTGCCTAGTCAGATACTGGGGTCGGGTAAGCCATTGTGCACAAAACATGCAAGTGTGCAGGTCAGATTTGCGAAGCAGTGCTGCAAGGGATTGCCAACCGGACTGAGACAAGAGCTGAGTTTGTTCTGGGTCAAGGCGTTTACTCAGTTCTGTCAGAGCATCCGTTTCAGGCTCGGATGCATGCTCCCTGTCGGGCAAGTCTGCAGGTGCCATAGCAGGCAAAACCACGGTTGCAACCGCATCTGCATTGGTTGGGGCTTCCTCCGTGCTCTCGAACTGCGGTCTGTGCAGGACAGGACATCTGGATTGTGCAAAATGCTGACAAAACGACGGCCAAGATGTAAATTGCCAAGAGCAGTGAGAGCACGTAGGAACCCCGCCGGTTGCGTGCTTCATGTATTCTGCACGCATACTCTGCTGTGTGCGCTTGCGGGCTCCAAGGGTTTTGGCAAGGGTACTCGGTTTGTGTTTGTTTGCCACATGGAGTTTGAGTGATTTGATGTTCGGGAAGTACTGGCCACAGGTCTTACAAGCTAACTGTTGTGTCGTCGCAGAAATTTCAACTAAGGAACCTCGCCTCACGACCTTGTAGCTTGGCTGGCTGATATCCACCGACGTGGGCTCCTGCTTCAAGCTATCTGCATGCGCAAGTAGCAGATTCCAGCGTGAGTGCACACGTGTGGGCTGGAGCGACTGCATGTGGCCTTGCTGGCACTTCTCAACCCGACTTCGTATGCGTGTCGCGAGGTCTTGCGATGGCGTGATGTAACCAAGTCTAGCAAGGAGATCAAGCGAAGATTCTCTGGAAAGATGAACGGGGCTCTTCAGGATAACCCGGAGTTGCTTAGCCACATGCTGTAAAAGTTTCTCTGCCCCCCCCAGTGGCAGGCCTGTACAGTCGAGGCCATACATGAGGGCCGCGTAAGCGCAGCTGTGCCATACACGAAGCTTCTGCTGTTGTGTGAGGCTGCTGCTCTTCAGGGCTGGCAAAAGTCTGTTGAACGTGGTCCAGGACTGCCGAAACCTATGCTTAAGGCTAAGTTGTTCAGGGGCAGTGTAGCTAAGCTGGAGTCCGAGGTAAGTGTGTTGTTTCACAATGGGCAACAGAACATGTTCAGCACCCACTGGGATACAAAGGAAGTGCCCTTTGCCAGGAACGCGTCTGACGTGACGCTTGAGAGCACCGGCTGCTTTTGTACCCTTAACACTGACTAAGATGACCGTTTTATCAACACTGATCTTCATACCAAATCTGGCAAGAGTAGTGAGGACGAACGAAATTTTGTCAATGGCACTGTCAAGATCAGAGACCTGGTTTATAAACCATTGGAAGAGCCAGTCGTCCGCGTAAGCAGTCACATCCTCTTTGCCAAGCTGACTCAGCAGCTCGCTAAGGACAAGGCCTGTGAAAAGACTCCATAATGTGGGTGATAACCCACATCCTTGCCTGATGCCATTTTCTGTCGTGACAGTGGTCTGGTGTTGACCGACTTTGAATTGCATCTGGGCATGGCGGTGGATTTGGAGTATCGCCCACCGGAGTTCGGCACTAATTTCAGCTGCTTGCAAGGCCTGATCCAGAAGCGCTCTGGGCATGAGGTCAAAAGCTTTCTGCAGATCTACTGATAAGGTTATGGCCCCTCTACAAGGCGCGGTCTGATGACCTTGTTTGCGAAGGTGTGGATTGTTCTGCTGGGCACGCAGTATGGCTCTGGCATGATGACAGTGAGTCATTGCACGATCCAGTGCATCCTGAGCACTCCTGGCTGGCAGGTATGCGAACTGTGGCATGCCTTGCATGTAGCTGGTGACCGCC